CCGTGTTGAAGGCCGTACCTTGACCTATAATGGTTTACTTTTATAAATTGTAACTTGGATGGAGAGTTGTCTCATTGGCACTCATACCACATCTTCCTATATCTATGTATATATATATACACTGTATTTAGACCTCTATACAACGAAATTTGTTACATGCACACGTATAAAAATTGCGGTTTTTATCCAACGCAATCATAGGTTTGAACGTTGTTTTCAATTTAGACTTGTTGCATGTATCATACATGTATATACATGTATATCCTATATCATAAGATGAATTCACCACTTGCTCAAAACTGAACCAATAAATACAAATCATTTTGTAAATTAGCATTTGCATTCCGACGGGGAAATCTATGAGCTGTCCCGTTGTGGATGGGTATGAAAAAATCATCTTGTAGTTGAAGTAATTCTTATCTATTTCTAAAATCCATAATCATGTATAAAAAGATATTTCAACTAAAAATATGGACCCACTAGTGGGAGTGGGTTGAAGTAAACATTCAATTACTGGAATTTACTGGTATACATATAAAATATCTCAATTCAAATAATTTGTACGGTACTACCTCTGCAATGCAAGTCTTCTGTAAACAGTTCTTTCAAATATCAAAGGTATGTGACTTTACAAATCACATCTGCAGTTCAGCAAATCCCTGAAGAAAAGGTTCAAATTTGTTTAGTCTGATAAAAATATAGATACATGTAGATATAAGAAGATGTGGTATGAGTGCCAATGAGACAACTTTCCATCCAAGTCACAATTTATAAAAGTAAACCATTTTTCGTGTAGGTCAAAGTACAGTCTTCAACATGGAGCTTTGGCTCACACCGAACAGCAAGCTATATAAAGGACGTAATAAACTGCTTCGCTGAGCGCAGCTGGATACGCCCGCAGAGGTCTAACCCTGAACAGTTGGGGCAAAAATGGACACAATATTCAAGCTTGATACAGGTCTGAATTTGGATTGTAATTAAATATTTGACATACATGTATTATAGGTTTCTGAATAAATGTAGTCAAAGAACTTGAAGTTGGTTATATGAATTGAATTTATATTCAATTAAAGATTTCTTGCTGCTGTGCAATACACTGTGCTGTTGCGCAATACTTAGTAAATCTGTTGTCAGACTATAAACAAATAAAATTTATAAAATTCTAAAAGGAGATTACATCAATAGATATAAACAGTTCACACAAGTTTCATACGAATTGCTGAAAGCATTTTTGAGTTATTGTCTGAAAAATGGAAAATCCCCCCTTTTTTATGAATAAAACCCTGTAAGTCGGAAACGTAAAATCTAAAATTTATAAAATTCTAAAGGGAGCTTACATCAATAGATATCAACAATTCATCAAAGTTTCATGAGAACTGCTGAAAGCATTTTTGAGTTATTGTCCGAAAACTGGAAAATCCCCCTTTTTTATGAATAAAACACCATAACTCGGAAACGTAAAATCTAAAATTTATAAAAATCCAAAGGGAGCTCATGTCAATAAATATAAACAATCAACCAAAAATTCTTGTAAGTTGGTGTAAGCATTCTTGAGTTATTGTCTGAAAACTGGAAAATCCCCCTTTTTTAATGAATAAAACCCCATAACTCAGAAACGTAAAATCTAAAATTTATAAAAAACGAAAGGGATCTCACGTTAATAGATATAAACAATTCACCAAAGTTTTATGCAAATTGGTTAAAGCGTTTTCGAGTTAATGTCCGACATGTTGACGACGGACGGACGGACAGACGGACGTACAACGGTATACCATAATACGTCCCGTAAACGGGCGTATAAAAATTACTGTGTAAAACCATTCAAACAGGAAAACCCACGGTCTAATCTATATAAAAAACGAGAAACACTTATGAACCACATCATCAAACGACAACAAACGACATATATATAAATGAAAGAATAAATTTATTTATACAATACAAATTTCTTTGTAGCTCTTACTTCAGACCAATTTAAAAAGTTGCAAATAACATTAACATAAAAATTTTCCCTAAGTACAAGTTATGCAGAACATTTTTTAACCCCTGAGAGCTAGAGTTTTTAAGGGCATACGATACAGTAGAGATCCCTCGTTGATTTTTTCTTTAAATTTTAGTAGAAGGTCAATTTTAATGTGTACTTTTGAAATGTGCAAAGAAAACTATACCTGCATGACTTACTTTTTGAGATAATTTGGTTCGAAATTTGCATATTTGAAGGAAAAACACAAAATTGCATAAATAAGGACTTTTAAGGAAAGTAACAATACTTTTGAACGAACAGTCATAATTTAACCGGGTTTTTTGTCAAATGTTCCTTTGAACCACGGCATCAAAATGCTAAAACAAGTTTAAGGTTTAACTTAATTTTTTGTTTTTTTAAATTATATTACTTTTAGTGAAATAAAGAAATTGACAATATTTTTGCGTCTATTCAGAAATAATTTAATTTTGGATGTAACGCGTCTTCTGATTGGCTGACGTTGTTTTGTTTATCAGCTCATAGACATAATTTTGTCATGTGACCGTGACGTCATCAACGTTTTGTCATGGTTTACTACGATTTAAAATGGAATTTAGAATTAAATTATAAGAAATTACTGTAATATTTTTTCTGTCTATTCGAAATAACATAAAAAATGTGGTGCACACTTTAAAATAGACTGGTTCCCGATCGCAATATTCAGTATGTTACACATATACCAATATAACGACCGGGACGGACTTTACGTTACCTTTAGACTGGTTCCCGATCGCAATATTCAGTATGTTACACATATACCTACAACGTTCTTCAAAATCGGAGGTATTTCTTAAACCAAACGCCGTCATTTGGCGAACTTTTGAATGATGGCGTCCCTGGAAACGCCCCTTCACAGGATGAATTCCGATATCAAACTCTCGGAGATGTCATTTAAATATTATAATTTAAAAGATAAACAGGAACAAATAAGAATAAAAAAAATAAAAAATGTTTTAAATAAAAAACAATTGTTTGATGCCAAAACTAGGACCTGAACAGAGAAATGAAATATATAGGCCACACTGCGCAAAACAGTAAATAATCTTCAGATCAATGAAGGACTACTGAAAACCTAAAGAAGAAGAAGAAGACCTGAACGGACCTGAGATTCTACGATCATACTTATTCAAACTTCAATCACTGTTTTATTTTTCAATGGATTTCCTTCAACTCTAGATTTTGTGAAACGAAAAAATTCTATATATAAATAATGTTCAAAAAGAAATTATGAAAAATATTGTTGTCAAAACTCGGACCTTAACGGGAAATTAAAATACCCGCTGAATTTTATTTTACTTTTGCTACAACATTTGGTCAGGTTTTGTTCAGAGTTTTCAATCTGGTAAATAATATATAATTATTCATGAAAAGTTACTAACAGATGATGGACTTCATGGGGTTTGGAATAGCCCATTCTAGCTTAATTTTGTCAAGGTCCATATTATTATTGAAAGTAGTGCTCTGGCAATATAACGTCCTTTACCACTTGTAAATATAAGCTTACAAACCAAAAATAGAAACATCTCAAACTGAAACTGAAGTGACAAGGATAGACAGATGGACGGACAGACCAAAAGAAAACATATAAAGTCATGGTGTTTATAAGAACACTTAACACATAACATAGGTAAAATCTCTTTGTTCTTATTGTGCTACAATCTGGATGCACATCTAATGTGTGCATTAACTACCTCAGATATACTGCACAGTTCAAAAGTACTCTTACCTTTAGGGGCGGATCCTGGATTTTGAAAGGGGTGTAATTCCATAAAATTAAAAAAAATATCACCGAGTGTAGCGAGACTAAAGACAAATTTTGATGATTTGAGTGTCAAAATATGAAATAGAAAGTGTTTCTCATTCCTTAAACTAGGACAAAAAATATTTCATTTTGTGTACAGTGTAAATCTTAAATAAGTGCTTCAAAGTCAAACCAGATAATAACTAGTTTATTTATTTTTGCCAAAAAAGAAATGCATTTTTGAATATCCAAATAAATGAAATCTGATTTGGATTACCAGGTAGTTTTTGTGCTCAATGGAATTTATTACGACTTGTTGAATATTTATTCCTATTAAGTGACTATTTCGGGATCGAATTTAATGAAGATCATATCCAAGTGTGTGTCAAAACAGGGGCGGCGGATTAGTTGCAGATTAATCAGACTTCGTTTAGATGGACATGTCTTCAAAAATTGGGGGTACTGGGGAGTTAAAGATTGGAAAGTGAAACTTTTTTTTCTCTTTATTTAACTTTCTAAATTTAGGTACATCTCTCCTCGGTTCATCTTTCTCTAAGTATATTATTGAGGGAAAGAAAAGCAATTAATCTATACTCAATAACCCTTTCAGTTATGATACACCTATTTGAAAGTACACCAAAACGGAACAGCAATCAAACAAAAAATAAAATGCTCCGCTGGGGCGCAGCTTGATACGACCGCAGAGGTCGAACCCTGAACAGTTGGGGCAAGTATGGACACAACATTCAAGCTTGATACAGCACTGAATTTGGATTGTAATTAAATATTTGACACAGCATAGGTTTCTGACACAGAATGAAAGTGGTCTAAGAACTTAAAAATTTTCAATTTACCTATTCATACATGTGATGGACTGTGAAACTCAGATCAGGAGATTGGGAAATTTTGGTCAGGAGATTAGGACTCAGATCAGGAGGTTTTTAATCGACATTAATTTTGTTGTAAATGTAACCGTGTGCTGTAAAAATGGTCTTTTAAAGTGTGTTTTCTTCAACTTTCCATCCAATTTATTATGTTTATAGTACCCTTGTACTTATAAAGTTTCTCCATCTTCATATTCTACATGTTCAATCTAACATTGTATTTTTCCAGTATGTTCTTTAAATTTTTTACTTCATATTCTATAAAACAATCATTGAAACCAGAACATTTGTTTAGCTATCTGCAAATAGTTTTTATTTTTTTTTTTCTCTTGCAAATAGTTTTTATTTGCAAACTCAGAAAATCATTTTATCTGTAAAATCAGGGTCATAGTTATTATATAAATTTCAATTTAAGCCTTGAAAGGAAGTCTAGAATCCTCAAATAATTTTCAAATTATTATTTTTTTATTTGTCCTAAGACATTTAAAATCATTTAATAACCATCCTTTTAGGATTATTTGTTCAATTTATATTTTATTTATATTCTTTTAAAAATTTTCATTATTAAAAGGAAAGTAACTTAAAACAGGATAAATCAAGGGAAGTAACCCAATAAATACACAGTTTTTGTTACACAACGGCAGTTAGCCTGAGGTAAAAATCGTTGATTACCTGTATGTTTGACACCCAAGCTGACAAGTGAAGCCATATAATTATGCATGTTAATTGATTTACAGGTAAAATATAACTGCAGGTAATGTCAGTTACACCAGATGCCTGAGATGATATGTTGGGCAGAAATTTTTCATTCATGAAAAATTTCATACACGGGATTTTTTCCTCTTCAACGGGAGGTCGGGAGGAGACCCCTGAAAACGGGATTATTGTACTCCCGTCGGGAGGTTCACATGTATGCCTATTCAAACCATATCATTATTATTTGCTTTTATATATTAATCAGAAATAACCAATTTAAAATGGAAAATGTTAAAGAAAAAAAAGGAAAAAAAAATCCCCCCCAATTTTTTGAACCCCCTTATGATTCATCACCCCCAAACTCAATCCCAGCTTTCCCTTTGTGGTATGGTACCTTGCAGTACAATTTCAGAGAGATTCATACACTTGAACACAAGTTATTGTCTGGAAACTAGAAAAATGCTTGTTTTTTGGCCCCTTTTTGGCCCCAAATTCCTAAACGTTTAGGGCAATTACCCCCAAACTCAATTCCAGCTTTCCCTTTGTGATATGGAACCTTGCAGTACAATTTCATAAAGATCCATACACTTACACACAAGTTATTGTCCTGAAACTAGAAAAATGCATGTTTTTTTGCCCTTTTTTGGCCCCTAATTACTAAAATTTTGAGGGAAAACCCCCAAAATCAATCCCAGCCTTCCCTTTGTGATATGGAACCTTGTAGTACAATTTCATAAAGATCCATACACTTACAATTAAACAAGTTATTGTCATGAAACTAGAAAAATGCTTGGTTTTTGCCCCTTTTTGGCCCCCAATTCCTAAAATTTGGAGGCAATTACCCCCAAAATCAATCCCAGCATTCCCTTTGTGATATGGAACCTTGTGGTACAATGTCAGAGAGATCCATACACTTACACACAAGTTATGTCTGGAAGTTACAAAAATGCTTATTTTTGGCCCCTTTTGGCCCCTAATTCCTTAACTGTTAGTACCATAACCCCCAAAATCAATCCCCACCTTCCTTTTGTGGTATTGAACCTTATGGTAAAATTTCATTGAGATCCATTTACTTAAACTAAAGTTAGAGTGCGAAAACTAATGTGTATTCGGACGACGACGACGGACGACGACGACGCCGGACGACGACGACGCCGGACGACGACGACGACGACAACGACGACGCCAACGTCATACCAATATACGACCACAAAAATTTTTTTGCGGTCGTATAAAAACCAACTAAAGACATTTAGCGGGCAACATACAGTTTTCAAAAATAGTTATAGGTGTCTACACAATATGTCAAATTCTTAATCTTTACTAATTTATATAATTATTGAGAATAAATCTAACAGAAACGATAAAAAAATCTACCATTAAATCGCAATTCTTCAGATAATGTAACAATTTAGGAAGAAGCCTAAATTTAAAAAAGTTAATAAATTAAAACTTACCAACCTTTTATTACTACATAATTAAAGGCGTATTTCCCCTTTCTTTACCCTACAAGAAACTTTCCTTGGAGCCGTGGATTGCGATTTATCGTCCGCATATTTTCAAAATGTATAAGTAAATTGGTGGCGTCATGTGTTAAAACAGTTATTGGCCAATCGAATCGGTATATATTATTTACTATGCATGGTTGGGATGACCCTTTAACCCGAACTCCTTTAAAGATACAGAGTGATTGACAAAATGGGACAGTAATTGACATTATAGGAGAAAAGATGAGATATTTGCTTTTGCTGCGTTAGTTTAAAAAATAAAGTAGAACATGAAAAGTCGAACATATTATATGGTATGTATTAGAGGAAAAGAAAGGGATCAAATGGTCACTTTCAGAAATTTCTTCAGTTAACCAGGTCATTTTAGGCAAACTATACAGTTCTAAACTGATCTGGTTCTCGGTTTTAAACATTTCTAAAGTATCAAACAAAGCAAATTAAAGCAAAACGGGCATAACTCGGGAACGGTTAAAGTGACGCCACCAAAATTCAAACTTGATCTCTGTTTTGTGGTAATAAGCATTGTGTATATGTTTCATAACATTTGGTTGAGGCAAACTAAAGTTAGAAAATGGAAACTAACTTTGGGACGTTATAACATACAGACTGACAAGGGTAAAACTTACTCCTCCCCCTCATTGCGGCGCGGGCATAAAAAGTGTTTATTTAAGTTATTGCCCTTGTACCTTGGATAGATAAAATATGTGCAACGCGGGGGACATTTGAAATTTGTTCTTTATTTCACATGGGACACTGAAGTCTTGTTTTCATGAACGATTACAGCTTGATGGGACTAGAAAGCATTGACAATTACAAATCAAAATAAAATTGGTATGTACAGAGACTTAATGTCTCTGGTATGTACTGCGCTGTTTCTAGTGTTGCAGTTAAGAAATAAGACCATGTTTGTAATTTGTCTTCAAATTAACTGTTAATCTTGTATTTATGCACACCTTCTGAGCTTAATGGTTTGATTCCAAATCTCGAGATTAATTCAAAGGTTACAAAAGCGGATACACGTACGGTCCAAGGAAATAGGGGGCGTAATTCATTAAAAGGTTAGAAAAAATCGTTGAGAGTAGCAAAACGATTTTTTTGAATATTCAACCTAAAAAAATGATGCATTTTTATACGTCCGTTTACGGGACGTATTATGTATACCGTTGTACGTCTGTCGTCAACATGTCGGACATTAACCCAAAAACGCTTTAACCAATTTGCATAAAACTTTGGGGAATTGTTTATATCTATTGACATGAGCTCCCTTTCGTTTTTTATGAATTTAGATTTTACGTTTCCGAGTTATGGTATTTTTTTCATTAAAAAAGGGGGATTTTCCAGTTTTCGGACAATAACTCAAAAATGCTTTCACCAATTTGCAAGAAATTTTGATGAATTGTTTATATTTATTGACATGAGCTCCCTATCGAAAATTTTAAATTTTAGATTTAACGTTTCCAAGTCACGGGGTTTTATTGATTAATAAAATGCTCTGCTGGGCGCAGCTTGATACGACCGCAGAGGTCGAACCCTGAACAGTTTGGGCAAGTATGGACACAACATTCAAGCTTGATACAGCACTGAATTTGGATTGTGATTATATATTTGACACAGCATAGGTTTCTGACACAGAATATATGTGGTCTAAGAACTTAAAAAATTTTAATTTACCTATTCAAACCATATCATTATTATTTGCTTTTATATATAAATCAGAAATAACCAATTCAAAATGAAAAATTTTAAAGCAAAAAAAAGGAAAAAAAAAATCTCCCCCCCCCCAAATTTTTTAAACCCCCTTATGATTCATCACCCCCAAACTCAATCCCGCCTTCCCTTTGTGATATGGTTCTTTGCAGTACAATTTCAGAGAGATCCGTATACTTGAACACACAAGTTATTGTCTGGAAACTAGAAAAATGCTTATTTTTGGCCCTTTTTTGGCCCCTTATTCCTAAACGTTTTGAGCAATTACCCCAAAACCGTCTATCCGTCCGTCCATCACACTTCAGTTTCAGTTTGGAAATGCTTTGACCAAATGATTCTATTTTTTGTTTTTAAGCTTATTATTAATATACAGGTCAAGTTTGTGATTTTTGCTGGTGGGATAACATCTCAGGCTTGTGTGTGCCCTGAGAAATTAAGAATTTTCTTACAAATGGTAAAGGACAATATTTATCTTGCCTTACTATAAGCCAGGTTGGGCTATTGCAATCCCATGAAGTTCTTCATTTGTTAAACTTTCATAAATTGTTTATCAGATGAAGAACTCTGAACAAAATCCGACCAAACGTTGCAGAAATTATCTTTTCGAGGATCTACATGTATGAAAAATTAAAAAATTAAACATACCCTCCCCCTTCTTTTCTCCCAACCCTCCAACCCTAATGTTACATTATATATTACATTTGTTGAACCTTCTGAAAAAGAACAGACAACACTGTGAGTGAAGCAAAGCATGCAGTCATATTCCAATTAGAAAACAAACACCCTCTATATATGTAATATTTACATAAATTTCCATTTATACATCTTTTGAATGGATGTTGCTATGGATTATATTTGTTTCCATGGTAACTATTGAGGTCAGTAACACTTAACAATGTTTTTTTTAGAGTTAACATATGCTTTTATGTATTTTCTAATCGGTTATGAAGCAATTAAGGACATTTTAGTTCTTAAACTGCAAAATTCTTCACATAATAACTTTGTTTCCAAGGAAAAAATGGGTTGCTATGGTGATAAAATTAAAGAGAGTCCCATGCATTTTTCTATTTAAATCGGTAAAGAAGACTTATTATTCAAACTTAATTACTACAATGCTAACTATGCTGTACACATTTGCACTTTTCTGAAAAACACACGACAAAATTTGATAATTTCACAAAAATCCACAGTTCAGAAAAGTTGAAAATATGCATTTTTTGGTATATTTTTAAAAAAATTTTACAAATTTGGTTGACATGCAATTTTAACTAAAATGAAGCTTAAACCAAGTAATATCAATAGTATATATGAAAATTTATGAAAAAAGTTTGATTCTATTCATAATCAGGCTCAGAATTGTAGTGATTTAGCTGATTTTTCAAAGATTTTACCACGCTTGACTACCAAAAAATAGAGTGTCTGTTACCATGGCAACCACTCATATTTTCCCACTCAAATTTAATTTTTGAGCATTATTCATTTACTACTTAATACCAGGCAATTTATAGAAAAAATCCGAAACCCTCATATATCACACTCTGCCTGGTTCTTGTAAATAGCTGCACTTGAGGGTCCATATTGTTTTCTGCTGAAAATAATTTTATTGGTGATTTATCTAAATTATGCTTACATTCATTATCTTGTGACTTGTGCCATTTTCATATCAATTTTTCTTTCTTTGCAAATGTTACATAATTTAAAACAATAACTTCAAGACTTTTTTTTAGTTTAAAAACTATGATTACAATCCATAACTTTATTAAATTGTTGATTTTCATGAAGAGGTAGAGGATTTGGGATGTCTTTTTCATTAATATTTAAAAGTTGTAGCTGTTTTTTTAATTTTGTATTGCAAAGTGAAACAATGCTTTCTGTTGGTTAAATTATTTAATCTCTCTAAATTAGTTGGGTATTCATATTGTATCCTGCATCTCATATATGTCATGTATGTATTTGACCAGCAAGAACATCATACTGATTGTCAATAGAAGAGTTTGAATTTACAGTGAGCATGTTTTGAAATATTGTTAGATCAGGTTTTTCATTTTCATCTAAGCCCAAGGAACCATAAATAGGATTGTTTAGTTGATCATATAAAGATTTTGCTATTCTCTGGGATGCTATTTGAAATGTGTGGGGAGGACACTGTTCAGTAGTATAAATGTATTCTTATTTCATGATTATCTTCTGTTTGTGTTTTTTACATCAATTTCATGTAACTTTTTTTTCTTTTGGCCATGAAAATTAATTTGCAGTGGAAAAGTTGGTATAGCCATAGGTGTTGATTTATTTAAAGGGTTGAAATGTGCACCTGATAAAAGTGTATCATTGAAAAGGTTTTGATCGGGTTTAAACTGATGCATAAAATATACAGGGGCCTGTGGGAGCCAAATATTTATATTGCATCCAAATAATGTGGCAGCAGCTTGAATTTCACTGGATTTAGCCCACATACTTCCAAGTAACATGCCTTGTATATCATGTATATACCTATCAAAAGTCAAATGCATTTACATGGGTTATCATCATGATCATATTACTTCCTATAGCTGTATAATGGAACCTACATGTATGGGAATGCAACCCGAGTATAAACCCCACTTACCTAAAATTATACCATAGCTATCTTTGATATATATAATTTTCACAGTTATACCATGGTTTTGTTGTCTTCGATAAGAAAAATAGCGAGACCTGGATGCCTGTTTTTTTTTTTAACATTGGAACAACAGAGTCTAGTGTGGGGCCACTAAGCTAAACTGCCCGCTTTGCACCAGCTGATATAAATGAATGCCTAGGGTGGGAGTCGAACCCACGTACACCAACTCTGTTGTCCTATATTTTTAAATGAACAAAAATTTGCTCCTAGAACAAACAACCAAACAAATAAAGTATAAAAAAATATATATTATATGTGTTCATTAAGAATTATATTCTTACAAATATACCGTATTTTAGTGGAAAATATAAGTTAATTTTCAGTTATTGAGATGTATATAACTTGGATTGTATTACATAAGCTCAACTGTGCAGCTACATAAATAGATTTAAATTTGCCTAAGCAGATTTTTTTGTGGGGAGGAGTCACGCCCCTTTTAAGAAGCTCCATATATGGTAAATGCAGTCTTTCATTGTATTACTATAAACAATGATAAATGTTGGTTTGCTAGATCCTGCTTTTACTATCCTGGATCCACACCGGATTTGAAATACACTGCTGACATCTAGACTTTAACGAGGTTGCTTAAGTAATAATTGGGTTGTAAAATTAGAAAGCTTCTGGTTAATCTACATGAAGTTTAATTCTTTGTTTAAATTATCGTAGTCAACATGTGATTTTAATTGCTAACATTTTGAAATTCATTTTAATTATTAAATGTACGATTAAAGCTTCTGGTACCAATTAAAATGTGGAATGATTTCCTTCAAACTCCCAGAAAGATTCTTGTGAAATTAATTTCTTCAGAATTTTAAATCAATATTAAGAAATTAAAACATTTTAATAAAAGAAAAAAAGAAAAAACTCTTTGCAGTTCAATTTTTAATCTGGGATTGTGTCTATATCCAGATACAAGATATTTTATTGTGCAAATCACGGCGCCAATTACTGAGCAGAATAATCATTGTAATTACAAAACAAAATCTACATACAATACAACATAATATTTTAACTAAATAAAATATCAAAATTATTGGTTATTAATGATTAGTATGATTGTTTTAAAATAGGGTTTAATACAAATTGAATGTAGTAAAATATAATCCATGGATAATAATGTAATGATAAAATTGTCAAAATTTTGTAAGTAACACACTTCAACCTAATCCAAATTAGTCATGAATCCCTGTGTTCTGAATTATAATATTATTATTATTCACGGTATTATTGAATATTATAAATCAGTTCTTGTTTTGTTTTAAATTGTTCTGTAAGCAGCTGCTGAAGGATCTCAGTGGCATCAGATGACCAGATGAATTTGTTTTCATCATTCAAAATAATTGGGGATCAGATAAAAATAAAATATTAACCGTTCACTGCATGTGCATTAACTCGTTTATGAAGACTGCAAACACACTTATCTGGGAACATATAACATGATATAGAGTGGACCATATCAAATGAAACTCATGTGTTTGTTTATTTTGTATTTTTCTGAATATTGGGGAAAAAAATGCACATCAAATGTCGTTATTTTTACATTATTTAACCTAACTGATATAAAACTTTTTCCTATATGGGCATGTCACGCCTTAAAACTTTCAGTTTCATATATGCACCAGTTTGTCTACACCCGTAGTAAATTTTCAGGTGAAAAGGTGACCATATGTGTAAATTCCCTCTGATGAACAGCTTGTCCTCATGTTTTTCATTTGTATAAGTATAATATGGACATTTCCCCACATATAATTTTGCTTCAAAACTTCAACACTTACATTGTAGCCGTCATACAGTTATTATTAGATTATTTCGATGATTCAGCAAAAAAAATTTGTCCTGCATTATATCTTGTCCAATACTTATTTATGAAGTCTACAGGCATAATTTGTAGGATAGTGGTTAGCGTTGACAGTTAAACCTAGTCTGGCCCACATAACAAGCCCTTTTGGGTAACACGAATCACCAAATAACACCGTTATTAGCCAAATAACACTTGTAATCACCGAATAACACTTGAAATTTGAATATTAGCACATATTGGTGACATTTAAACATTGATAATTAAATAATATTGTATAATAAGTGTATTTTATAACTTAAAATGATTTATAGAAAGCAGGTAAGTTCTTAAAGATCGCATTACATATTAGTGTGTAATCCAACATGGCGACCAAGGAAAACACAATGGGAAGAATAAAAGAATGATTGCATACAATCCCTCAACGTGTTCATTTTAGACCACCAAAGTGGAGCCCTCACGCCACGTCAACTGGATGGTACCTACGGAGAATGCCAGTTGCTACTTCATCTCTTACGCTTGGGACTGAGCCAGGATTAATGGGATCGGGCATGACCTGACTGTATGTTTGTAGAAGTAGGCTCTCTGATTTTGTAATAGGTTTCAC